TTATTAGGGTGGATGTAGGGGGTTGAGAACATCATACACTCTCAGGAAATAAAGTACGCCTTTGTACCTTTAGGGGTTCAATGGTTTGTCACTGGGGCAGTACCCTCAAAGGTACACTAGTGTACCCTTGAAATAGGGTATACATTTGTAAGTTCACCATTTATGGGTACAAAATTGTCCTACACTGAATGTTGACTTTAAATAAATTCCTTATGTCAACACATTTCACATAACTGTGTGTACTGTGTTGAAAGCAATAATATTAAGTTGAAACTCATATTTTTACTTCATATTATTGCGTTGAACTAACCTAATACAGATGTTGAATCTGTGGACATAATACATTTAATTGAAGTCAAAGTTTCAGTTGCTTCAGTTTTTTCAGTGTATGTAGTATATATAACGTATTTATACTTTTACTCAAAAGACAAACACATAATAATAATTTGCAGAATGTTCTTCAATCATTTTCACATTTACATTTTTAACAATGTATTTTAAAACAGCATTTCTTTCAAAGACATAATATCATAATATAGGTGCATCACTGCTTAAACTAAACTTGTGTCCAAATTGGCTGTTTGTCAGGGAATTTTGTCATCTTTTAAATTCTCATACACTGAGTACACCTGGGCCTTGAAGCCCACTCTCCTCCTCTGTGTTTCTAAAGCTGTCGAGGTGAATTTGCATAGAAAAGCCGTTTGCATATCAAACAGCTGGGATGCAGAGCTCACATCATCTTTCATTGATTTACAGGGAGATGCATGTTGCGCTGACACGCTGGAGTGCATGTCCCCTTTACCTCCATCTGCCCTTTGTGGGCATATCTTAAACGATTACTGGCGGCTGCAGCCAGAGAGTGTGCTTGTGTACGTCTGTTCTGCTATAGTGCAACAACGGGTGTTCGTGCACCCTTGTGTTAAGTGCACGGACATTCACCACACACACACACACACACACACACACACACACACACACACACACACACACACACACACACACACACACACACACACACACACACCTCTTCTTGACAGGGTGCAGTGTGGCTACTAATAAGGATATTCGTCACGCCAGCAGCTCACCGTGACAGCGCTCTCCGATCGGCCGCCGCACAATTGTCCCTCAAATATGAACTTATCATTTACAGTTGGGGAGGGACTTGATTGCCTTGTCAAGATGCAGGTTAGTTAAGAGGAGAGAGATCCCGGCTGGCCACGACCTCTCCGTCCTGACAGGCGCTCAGCTCATCACAGGAGCATCTAGGCTTCACGTAGTCCCCATAGTCCCTCTATATAACATGTTTTAATTGAACACATAACACTTGCAGTAGGCTTTTTAAATCCCTAACCCCAAACCTGCCCCTGACCCTAACCAACAACTGTAAACATCTCCAAACTGCTGCTGCCAACCAGGTCACTTTCTTTTTCACATCATTGTTTTACAGTGGAAGCTCAATGACATCCAAAGGCATTTTAGAATATTTTCCCGTAGCCACAAATGCCACATTTGCACTTGGCCCAGACCCTTAACAGTAACTCTAACCATCTCCAAACTGCTGCTGCTGCCCACTACCTCACTTTCTTTCCCACATCATTTTACAATTGAGGCTCAATGACAGCTATATGAAAGGAAATAGTTACAAACGCCAAACTTGCTGCACCCAATATGTGAGGTAAGGCCCACCAAGTTTCATCACCCAACCCATCACCATTTGGGAGTTATATTTGGATGACTACTTATTTGCTACATGCGCCAATCTCGGTACACATGGTACAGGCCTACCGAGCTGTGAGGGTATCAGCCCCTTCCTTCATCCTGGCCTTGGTTACACTCCAGCATGTGCACTTTGCCATCAACTTGCTGCTCCATCTCTGCAAGAAGGAAAATGGTGGAATAAGCTCCCCATTGACATCAGGACAGCAAAAACTCTGCAGATCATCCGTCGCAAACTGAAAACGCATCTGTTCCGACTGTACCTTGGAAATGTAATTCTTGAGAACAAATAATTACTCAAAAAAAGAGAAAAAATAATTTAATCTTTGTAACTAATTCTAGGTATGACTTGCTCGAAGTGAATATATCTGCACTGTCCTTGTTGTTCTGAGTTTCAATCTGTATTGTTTTAGCACTTATTGTAAGTTACTTTGGAAAAAAACGTCGGCCCAATGTAATGTAACATTAGAAGAGGGAGAATACCATTACATATGCCAAATGTCAGCAATCTACCACTCACCCTTCGGGAGTTAGATGAGGATCACTCCTTTGTACCCTGCACTGCAAGAGGCCTGAGCACAAAACAACTAGTTTACTAACAAATTGGGTTTAAAATCAGAATCAGTAACAATAATTACCTCAAATTATACAATGAAACACAAGCTAACCAGACGACAAAGGCTGTAACGGATCCCCATTTGTTTTCCATTATGAACGCAGTTGTGTTTGAATTCGGGGCAATGCAGTTTGCTGGTGTCGGCTGTTTTGCATGTTGAAATCCCATTCCTTTGCTTGCCCTAAATTAGTCCACTGTCTGAGGTAATGAAATCACTCACGGCATTAGGAAGTAACTTGGCATTCCTTTTTATTTCCTGTGCACTGTTTAACAGTTCTCCTGGGGGATAAGGGCTCTTGCCAATGAAAGTTCCACCCTGGCGTGAGCTGAGCCTTCACAAATGAAGACATATGTCGCTAAGAGAGAGAAAGACTGCCGCAAAAAGGCCTGGAGAACTTTTTAATCCGGCACATACCTCTCTGTTAACAAAAAGGCCTCATAAATTCAACCTTTCCAATGAGACACAAATGAAATTTGGAGCCTGAAGTTTTGGCCGTTTCTCTCCTGTATGATTGGAATGAATATGGGGTAGTTAAAGTTTAATATCCTATTATGTGTGTCTGTTTAACTTGCCTGGTTGCCTGGACTGTCAGGGACCGCTCTCTCTTTTCTTTCATTCTTTGTCTATCACTCTCTGGGATTTTCCAATATTTTCCAGACCTTTTGAGCATGTAGAAAAATATGCTTTTTCATTCAACACATTGCGCCACCAGAGAAAGATTTGTATCGTTTTAGAGGGTTCTGTCTGTAGCCCAGTGGTTCTCAAAGTGGGGGGCGCGCCCCCCCTGGGGGGAGCAGAGGCATGCCAGGGGGGACGCAAGAGACCAGGAGGAAAAATGGTTATAAAAAAAGAATCATAATTTGAAAGATTATTGATTCGAAAATAGGGCTGCAACAAACGACTAATTTGATAACCGATTAATCTATCGATTAATGAAACGATTAATCGATTATTCGGATCGTTAACATTTTAACTGTACTACAACTTATATCGATACTGCTTATCGATCCAGTCCTTTTAACGATAGTATTAATGGTTCTTTTGACAAGAAATAAGGTAAACTAACTAAACAAATTGTGAACAAAACTAACATTTTTTTTTATTTTAATTAAATGCATAATATTTCACATCAAAAGAAACAACCATGTTTTAACAAATCATATTAAATAACGTGATGACAGAACTGTAAACAGAATAGCTGAAACTTTAACAAAATAAATAACTCAGTTACCTCTAATCATTAACCTATGTTTTTATAACTGAGTTAACTCTATGTGTTGCTGCTAGCATACATAACACCTGACGTGGAAACGTTACTTGTGGATGGGGCTACAGAGCTGCTCGAAAGACAGTCGAACCCGGTGCATTTCTCCGTCTGGATGTGGAGCACTTTTGCTAAATGTTTAGACAAATTGCTCGTGTTACCGCCCTTACATGATAAACTGTTATTGCACTTTTGGTAACGAGCATTGTCCACATCGAGACGGCTAAAGTTTAACCACACCTCGGAGCGCGTCTGCCAAGGCACACA